CTTTCGGCCGATGTGGGATCATAACAATACCCCACGCTTTGAAGAGCCAACGTCCTCGTTGGTCACAGTTGGCACCTCCTTTCGGTCCAAGCCACGACTCCGAGTCATTGTTGGTCACTGCTACATTGGTCACGGTTGGCACCCCTTTTTTGGGTCCAAGCCACCACTCCGTATGCCACCACTCAAAGTGTTGGCACCTCGAAAGATGGGGACGACTCTGACACCAATTGATACTGACCCATCCCATACTAGGCCTGTATAATGCCATAAGTCCAAGTGTAGAACTCGCTCCCAAAAGCTAGCTTGTAGGAGGAAGGGACACGTAGACTTATAAGCCACCAACTTATAGTACTTGCGGCCGATGTGGGATCATAACAGTTGTGGATGGGGTAAATGAAGAGGGAAGAGTGATGGTGGCGCAACAACGGTGGCTAGAATAAGGCCAATGGTGGTTGGTCCTTAGAGAGAAAGAGGAGTTTGGTGGTGTTTGACACCATATGTGGCTCTTGAGAGAAAAAGAAATGAAGTTGGCGGTAGAGAGTTAAGGTCGGGTTTCTTGATTTATAAAAGATCGACAAAAGGGTGATTGAAAGCATATTAACGAAGATTGATAAACTTTTGGAAGCTAGGCTCGATTTCATAGTGTTATAAATGGAGAGGAAAAAAGCTTTTGATCAGTTGTATGTGAGTATTGATATCTTTTGTTCAGGACATTATCTTTTAAAACAAATATTTACTTATAACAATAGATATCATGTTGATAAAATTACAAAAATATGGGAATATGATATATATTTTTAAGTTATTGTGAGTATTGATATCTTTTTAGATCATCTCTTGATCTTACTTATAGAGATTTTATGCTAAAATATATATAAACACAAGCGTAAATTATAGTTTATAAAGTAACTTTACTGACATGGCATGTTGTACAGTGCCCATTATATATGCGATATAAGAGTATATAATACTAGAGAGGCTTCATTAAGCTATTATTCATTTGTTTAATTAAACATTGCTTTAAAGAATGATTTGATTCAGTAATGCAACCTCTTCCTTCCATCTTCTTCTAAATCTCCTTCCTTGATCACTACCAGTCTACCAAAACTATCAACATTGTTTCTCACCTATGTGGAATCGGTGCCATCCACACCCCCTCATCTTGGCCAACACCATATTCTTCCTCAACATCGACGCTTGTTTATGGTTCATTAGCATTTTCCAATCTAGCAATTGTGTAAAATCTCTAATATGTGTTTGATTTCATTACATCTATTACTACCATTATTCAATCACACAATTAATGTATTCATGTAGACATTTTATCGAACAGTTTGTAGTCGTTGTCATTTAGTATGTTATTTTTAATTATTGGATATATACTGGTTGTAAATTGTAATGGAGTCCGAGAAAGGAATGGAGAATTAGAAGTTCACTGTTACCTTCATTAGGATTGATTGCATCTCTTATGGCTTTGGCAATCACAGGAGCAAGTATTCGTATCTCTCTTCTCCAGTTTTTGTCTTGCTTTGTATAGCGCCATAATCGTCAACTAGGATTGATTCCATTGGCTTTTAATGCTCATGGCAGAGATGATAAAATAATGTCCCTATGCTATCTCCAGATTATTTTTAATACTTATATCCGCCAAATTAAATAAATATAAACTTAAATATTTAATAAGTTCAACCAACGTGAACAAATAGACAAATAGACTTTGAAGCTTAAATTGAATAATTTATGAAATGAAAGTGTTTCTTATATTAATAAAATGAACATAATTCATTCTAAGAAACCAAGGGGCTGTTTGGTAGCCTCTTAATTGAGAAATTAAGAGGCAACCTCTTAATATTTCAGATATAGAGCGTTTGGTAGACTATGAATAACAAGCTCTTAATTTCTTAAAATTCTCTTAAACTTTCAGACCTAAACTTATATCTGAATAAACAAAATACACGCCTTCCCTGTATTGCCCTCATATATCATATGAACGCAACTCACCTTCATCAGATCCTCTCATGTCTCCTCCCACCTCTGACCAACTCCAACGCCAACCACCTCATCCCATCACCGAACACCTCACCCCATCGTCGGCCACCTATTCCCATCGTCGACTCGCACAACACCGCCGCCCCATCGTAAACCTCGCACACCTACAAGTTTCACACGACTTCTGATATCACTTCCACCTCCATGAAATCGACTCCCATCTCCAAACTACGACCTCCGACGCCAAGCTCCAACATCGCTGGTTCTACCCTCGAAAGCGCCGCCCTCTCCAGGTTCCGCCCTCGACAACGTCGGTCTCTACCAGGCGATCTCCAATCTCCTTCGTTGGTCAGGTACAAAGTTGCTAAAATCACTCCAAATTCGAGAAATCGAATTGTTTTCATGATGTGAAATCGAAAATCAATTTAATATATCGAGTTTTTAAATGTTCATATTTTAGGTTTTCTATGATGTTTTGAATCAGTGGTGAAACATAGTATAATTCAAAATTAGTTATTGATTTATAGTTTTCTGGTATAATAATGATTATTATTATCATAAACTGATGTATTGTTTCCAAATTTGTTATTGATTTAGAGCATTGTGTGATTTTTGATGGTCAAGATGATGATGGATGAAGGCTGTGATGTTTTTTGGTCAAAATTGTTCCTTTTCTATTTCTCATTTGAGCAATTGGAACTTTAGGCATTGATGTTTGACTTTGATCAATTGGAACTTTGGATGAAACTAATGTTGAATGTTTTTTTTCTGTCTCTTCTGAAAAGATATATAATATTGTATTGGTATGAAACTAATGTTGAATGTTCCATGTTTATGCAGTGGGATATTGTTGGACAAGAAAGGTTCAGCAATCACCGGTAGCTAACCACATATCATTGATTTAGAGCACAAAGAATGAATGGAATGGTTTTAATTTTCTAATTTATTCAAAGCTTTTCTTTGTGTTCTCTTTTTGTATTATGTTTATACTTTTGTTATAATTATTCAAGAAGTTGGTTTGGTTATTTTATAAACATAAGCATTGAATTCAACAAAAAACATAACACTGAAGGGTAAAATGGTCATTTTATAATTCAGTCCAGCAATTCAGAGGTTCCAACCAAACAGCATGTTAAAAATTCAGATCTTAAAGTTTCAGACCCTCTTAGAAATTCAGACCTCTTAAAAATCCAGATCTTAAAAATTCAGATCCTGCCAAACAGCCCCAAATACAAAGAACAAAACCTTGAAACCATTAAACGATTAAGTTTAAAAAACTTGAATTCATGAGACCAATTAACAGAAACATTGACAGCAACTAATGAAACTTGCTACAAACCATTAAATGGTTAACTCATTAGTTCCATTTATCATGTTTTTTTCTCTTATTTGATTTCGACAACAATTGATGTTTTTCTTTTTCTTTTTCTTTTTTTTTTATTTGATTTACAAAAAACTCAACAGCTCGATTGATTAAAACCCAACCAAACTTCAAAAATATAAAATGTTTTTTAAGATCATATCGACTTCGACATAGTATAATATTTGACTATCAAACTTTTTAAATCTATCTTTATTTTATAAGATTTTGAACTTAAATCCTTCTAAAAGCCTTTAAATACTATAATCCAAGTTCCACCTTATAACATTTTTAGCGTAACGAAATAATGCATGTATCAAAACCAAATCACTTTTCAAATTTAATTACTTCGCAGGTATTTGGCATCATGTGTCGACATCCATGTAAACATTGTATAAACTAAAACGTATCGTATAGCCATAAAGCACCAGTGGTCTAGTGGTAGAATAGTACCCTGCCACGGTACAGACCCGGGTTCGATTCCCGGCTGGTGCATTTCTTTTTCAACAAAGCTTTTTGAAGACAACCTTGTTGCGCATATGTGCTTTTCTTTTTTTTTTTGGTTGCTTTTTTAAATGTTTACAAATATATATATATATATATATATATATATATATATATTATATATATATATATATATATTAAAACTTACTACGTAAATTACTTTATTTTCTTTTGAAGTTATTTATATAATATCTGGATAATTTTGTATTTATTAAACGTTATCGTAACAATATTGTACTACGTGTCTTACATATAAAAACGAGCATTTTCCTACAAGTTTATATTAAGAATTTGGAAGTAGCATATCATTAAGTTGTAAATGTAAAATATCTTTGAATTACCAGAAATTTGAGAGACAAACTCTGGTGTGAGATTGAAAGAAATTTAGACATGAAAGTTACATAAGATTGATGGTGAAATGCTAAATACTAAGTATTATTTTTGTTAGCGAGTATAAATACTCTATATTTTTATGAATTATAATTATACTCATGACTATTCATTATATGATGTTTTTTATCAATATCATTTATTTGCAAAATCCCAATTGATGGTTGCAGAACCATTTATGAGTTTCAATGACAGCGACAGAAATATGCCACCAGAAAAACCTTGTCACTAAAATGTTAGTTTTCAGAGAAAACTAGGGCTGGTTCCCGACAAACAAGAAACAATTGGAATCTCTTTTATTCACAAAATTCTGAATCCAAAATAAACTGTCGCTCCAAACCAGAATCAAGAAAATTAAAAGCCAAAACAGATCCTCCAATATAGGAACTAAATAAGGAAACGATATACTTGAAAATAATAGACGAAGCTAAAAAAAAATAAACTAGGATTGAGATTCCAGAATTAAGCCATCTTCAAACGGGTCGTTTATCGGGACGAGCCGGGTCCATCTGCATCAGATTTATTTCTCAATGGACAATTTTTATCTTTTTAATCATAGTTGCTAATATAATTAGCGATAATTGATTAGGTGTCAAATAGGTTGCTATTCCATAACCATAATTCACAAATGAAATTCAAGTTTTATTCCCCAAAATCAAAACAAAACATTAACATTCTACTACCAAAATAAAGATTCATGTTCAATTTCAAAGTATTGAAACCAAATCACAAAAAAAAAATTCCAAAGTGTCAAAGTCTAACTAGAGGGTAGGTTATTTCCTTGGTTGAGCTTTATGATTTCGTTATACATCTTGGCGATTTCTTGTTTTTTGGCATCAATTTCATCATACAACTTGACAATTTCATGTTTTTTGGCATCTGCGTTAAGCTCTTCCTTAATCTCCTTACATATACGATCTACAATAACCTATACAAACAACAATGACCAAGTTTATACCTAATTAAACATCAAGCCATAACATTCAATTCATAACAATGTACTTTCAACTTGAATTCCGAAAACCAAAGGGTGTTTTATAGTTTAATCAAGATGTAACAAAGTGAGAAAGACATGTATAGTAGGTAAATGGTGAAGAAGTGAAAACAAACCTCTATGTTGTCTAGGGTTGTACTTGGGGCTGCTTGACAAGACACCAAAAACCTGTGTGGATCAGTTACAGACCAGTTAGTGATTAACAAACAAAACTACATGTTTTGTTTCACTGCCGGGGAAAAATATAATAATATAATTTCATGTTTTCTGGTAGTGCATGGTACCTTTCATCCTGTGGTTTCATTGTCGGGAAAAGGATAACTTCCTGTTTTGTTTACCCAAACATTAACAACGTTTATAAACCAAAACACTAACGAAAAAAAAAACACAAACCTTGATGTTCAATGAATCGGTCAACAACATAGTAAGGCGGTCAACACCCAAACCCCAACCGCCAGTTGGCGGCAACCCATATTCAAGAGCCGTACAGAACGCCTCATCCAAAGCCATCGCTTCATCATCCCCCGATTGTCGATCCTAATGAGTAAATAAATCAATAAATAAATATATTCACAACATTTTTATCTTCCTCGGCATATTAAAAAAAAAAAACACCTTTAATTGATCTGCAAATCGTTGACGTTGTACCACTGGATCATTCAATTCGGTGTACGCATTCGCAAGCTAACAAAATAAAAAAAACAAAAGATTAAAAGAATTATTATTATAAAAAATAATAATAATTAGAGTATGTTTATACCTCGTGCTTGTTGATGAACAATTCGAAACGTTCAGTCAAGCCTGGTTTGGATCTGTGCCATTTGGCCAAAGGACTCATGATTTCTGGATGGTCCATTATGAAACAAGGATTAACACATGTCTCCTCCAAAAAGTGTCCCACAAGCTGACAAAACACGATACCACAAATTCAAGTTACAATTACCAATAATAAATAACAATGTATGAATGAATTGGTTTGGTTTGGATGTTATTTAAAGATGGATGGGGGATTAATATTACTTTGTCTAGTAGACGTGCGGTTGTTTGGGGTGGAGGACATTTGATTTCAAATTTTGCGCATGCATCCGCAAGATATTTATTGGCTTCATCACTTGCTAGGTCTTTGGGTATGTTAAGATTACCCATTTTTTCTAACTCTCCAATCATATCAATCCTTCTGAAAAAATTTCAATTATCTTCATGTTACAAAAAGCAGTTTCTCACTTAAAAGTAAAATTAATAAAAAAAACATTTGCTATTTCTTGCATCTACACCTAAAATCAATAATTATAAGCTAGTAAGAAAATGACCTGAAAGGTGGGGTAAAGTCGATTTCAATGGGATCATTCTTGTGGAAAAGTTGCCTCCAAAATTAGCAAGTGGCAAATAGTTCAGGGGTTATTTCAGTAACTTATCATTTACTATTCATAATTTGACTATGAATAGTAATATATATGTGAATTGAATGAAGAATTGGACGGTGTATATATGTGGTCAAAATAAGGCGCCTAAAAACAATTGTCCGCCTACAATTTGGACGGCTTTTCTTCTTTCCTTTCATATGATATTGCTTTTGGCTATAAATAGCCTGAGCCATGAGCCAGAAAGACAACCAAAAAAAAATCATCCAAGTATATATAAAAAAGCATTACATATATATACTTATACACCACCGTATATTTTAGCTCTCCCACTCTATTTGTAATCTCTTTCATAATCCCTGTAAACACTGCAAATTATAGTGAATTGTTTCTCGGCTTCCTCCGCCCGTGGTTTTTTCCCGATTTGGGTTTCCACGTAAATTCCTATGTCTCTATTCTATTTATTTTATTCGTATTACGTTGTGATTATTACGCTTTGATAATTTTTGATCCCATTCCGCATTGAGCTAATATTATTTAAGTCAATTTGGATCCGTCGTATTTTACAACAATTGGTATCAGAGCCAGGTTGTGATATTAGCTCGTTGGGATCATTTTATCAAGTAATTAATCATGTCTTCGGTAAAATACGATATTCCACTACTGGATCGTAACACCCGATTTCCGTTGTGGCAAGTAAAGATGAGAGACATTCTCATTCAGATGGATTTACACAAGGCGCTCTTGGGTTTCAATATGATGCCCGATACATGGACCGAAGAAGAAAAGGAGATGAAAGATCTGAAGGCTTTATCTCAGATTCGTTTGCACTTGTCAAACGATGTTTTGCAAGATGTTCTAAAAGAAACGTCAGCGGCTTCTTTATGGCTAAAGTTGGAGCAACTGTTGATGACCAAGAGCTTACCAAACAAGTTGCATTTGAAGCAACGGTTGTTCAATCTCAAGATGATTGAAGGAGGCTCTTTAACTGAACATATATCCACATTTAAAGAGTTAGTAAATAACTTAGAGAATATGGATGTTCAGTATGAAGATGAAGACTTGGCTCTATTCTTACTATCGTCATTGCCAGAATCCTATAGCCATTTTCATGATACTATTATCTATAGCCGTGACACTCTAGTTTTATATGAAGTCTATACAGCTTTGGATTCAAAAGAGAAGATGAAGCATATTACTGGTGGTGGTTCAAGTGATGCTAAAGCCGAAGGTTTGAATGCCAGAGGAAGAACAACAGAGAGAAGTAGAACTTCTCAATCTTCCAACAGAACCAGATCCAAGTCAAAAGGCAAACGAAAGTTTTGCAACTATTGTCACAAGAAGGGACATGTGCTTGAAGAATGCTTCAAGTTGAAGAACAAAGAAAAAGAGAAGACGGCAGCAAATGGTAAACAAGCTAGCACTTCGGGTGAAGCCGATCTAGCTGAGGTCGAAGGTATTGGAGAACTTTTGACAGTTTATTCAGATAAACTGGATTCCACTGGTGATTGGATACTCGACTCTGGTTGTACTTTTCATATGTGTCACAACAAAAGTTGGTTTTACACATTTGAAAAGGTTAACCAGGGCTATGTGTTGATGGGTAACAATACTACATGTCCAGTTCTTGGACATGGTTCAGTCAGGATCCGTATGTTTGACGGAGTTATTCGAACCATGGGGGATGTTAGATATGTTCCTGACCTCAGAAGAAACTTGTTATCTCTCAGTTCCTTTGACAAAAAGGGATACGAGTTTGCTGGTAAAGGTGGAGTTCTCAGGGTATTCAAAGACGGTTCCGACAAACTGAGAGCCGAACGAAAAACCTCAGATCTTTACTTTCTTGACGGGCAAACAATTTCGAGTGATGCTGCTGTTTTTCAAAGTCTCTTTCTGATCCAGATCAGTCCCGTCTTTGGCACCTTCGACTCGGCCATATGAGTTTTCAAGGCATGTCAGAATTGAGTCGAAGAGGTTTACTTGGTCAACAAAAGATTGTTGATTTGGATTTCTGTGAAGACTGTGTATATGGCAAGGCAAAACGAGTGAGGTTTGCAAGTGGTATCCATACAACGAAAGGACCACTTGATTATGTTCACTCGGATTTGTGGGGACCGGCTCGAGTTGCTTCAAAAGGTGGAGCTATTTATATGCTCACTATTATTGATGATTTCTCCAGGAAGGTGTGGTCTTTCTTCTTAAAACATAAAGGAGTCGTTTTCTCTACCTTCAGAAATTGGAAAGTTCAGGTTGAAAAGCAATCAGGTCTGGTGGTAAAGTATCTTCGTACGGATAATGGACTTGAGTTTTGCTCAGAAGAGTTTAATGTCTATTGTCAAAAGGAAGGCATTACTCGACATCGCACAGTAGTCCATTCACCTCAACAAAATGGTGTAGCTGAAAGGATGAATCGCACCATTATGGAGAAGGTCCGGTGTATGCTTTCTAATTCCAAATTGCCAAAGTCTTTTTGGGCGGAGGCTGCTTCGACTGCTTGCTATGTTATCAACCGATCACCGTCACGAGCAATCGAGAAGAAAACTCCGTTTGAGTTATGGTCCGGTAAACCTGCCAATTATTCAGATTTAAAACCATTCGGATGTCCAGCATATGCACGGGTTAACAATGGGAAGCTAGAACCAAGAGCAATCAAATGCGTTTTTCTTGGGTACAATCAAGGTGTAAAGGGTTACAAGTTATGGAGCTTTGATTTGAAGAAAATTATCATCTCAAGAGATGTTACTTTTGATGAGTCTGCTATATTTCAACCAGTTGCTGACTCTTCTAAAAGAACAGATGCATCAGATGTATCATCCGAAGCAAATAAAGAGAATGCTCAAATGGAGGTGGAGCTTCCTACTTCACCTACCACTAATCAGAGTACAAATCAGCATCAAGATTCTTCTTCGTCGGATGAGCATGTTGTTGGTGAAGATTCAACACCTTCACAACCACAAGCTACTACTCCAAGCATTGCAAGAGATAGACCGAGAAGACAGATTATTCCTCCGAAGAGGTATGCTGAATCTGATTTGGTTGCCTATGCTTTTATTGTTGCTGATAATATTGAGTCTGCAACGGAGCCTGCAAATTATGACGAGGCTATCAAATCTGAAGACTCAAATGATTGGATGCTCGCTATGCAAAATGAGATGGAATCCTTGCAGCGAAACAGTACTTGGAATTTAGTTCCTATTCCGAAAGGGAAGAGACCAGTTAAATGCAAGTGGGTCTACAAGCTCAAGGAACCTGTCAACCCAAATGATAAACCAAGATACAAAGCTCGGTTAGTAGCTAAAGGCTACAGTCAGATTCCTGGTATTGATTACACTGACATTTATTCCCCAGTTGTCAAACATACTTCCATTCGTGTGTTGTTGGGGTTGGTTGCTTCTAACGATTTTGAGTTAGAACAACTTGATGTCACTACAGCTTTCCTAAATGGTGAGCTTGAGGAAGAGATTTTTATGCAACAACCTGAAGGTTTTGCAGTTCCTGGAAAGGAGAACTACGTATGCAAATTGAACAAATCTCTTTATGGCCTCAAGCAGTCTCCTAGACAATGGTACAAGAGGTTCGATTCTTTCATGACCAGTCACAAATTCAGCAGGTGCACCTATGATAGCTGCGTTTATTTCAAGAAAGGTGACAATGGTTCAAAGATCTACTTACTCTTGTACGTGGATGACATGTTGATTGCAGCAAAAGATATGAAGGAGATTCAGAAGTTAAAAGACCAGTTGAAAGCTGAATTTGAAATGAAGGACTTAGGAGCTGCCAAAAAGATTTTAGGTATGGAAATTATTCGTGACAGGAAGTCTAGGATCTTGCATCTTTCTCAGAAAAGTTATATTGAGAAAGTCCTAAGACGCTTCAGTATGCACGAAGCAAAGTCTGTCAACACACCTTTTGCAGCTCATTTCAAGCTATCATCCGCTTTGAGTCCTACTAATGAGACTGATATGGCTTACATGGCACGTGTTCCATACTCTAGTGCTGTTGGATCTTTGATGTATGCTATGATCTGCACGCGCCCTGATTTGGCTTATGCTGTTAGCATGGTTAGTAGATACATGGCGAACCCGGGGAAAGAACACTGGAAAGCAGTACAGTGGATTTTTCGTTATTTACGTGGTACGTCTTCTATGTGTTTACGTTTTGGTAAATCTAACACTGGGGTGTTCGGATATGTTGATTCAGATTATGGCAAAGATTTGGATAAACGAAGATCAATTACAGGGTATGTGTTTACTCTAAATGGTTGTGCTGTTAGTTGGAAAGCCCAGTTACAGTCTACAGTTGCCCTGTCTTCTACCGAGGCAGAGTACATGGCGATTACAAAATCAGTTAAGGAAGATATCTGGTTGAAGGGGTTATTTGGAGAACTCGATGATAGAATAAAGGTGACCACAGTTTTCTGTGACAACCAGAGTGCTATTTTCTTGAGTAAAGATCAAATGTTTCATGACCGAACAAAGCATATTGATATTCGTTAACATTTTGTGCGGGATATCATTGAAAAAGGTGATTGTGTTGTGGACAAGATTCATACAGATTATAATCCCGCTGATATGTTCACTAAAAGTCTTCCTATAGCCAAGTTTAAATTATGTTTGGACATGGTGGGTGTTTCTGATCGCAGTTGAGCCTGAAGGCTCGTAGGTGGAGGAAGTATTATTTATTTTTTCGGAAACAATTTTTTCTCTATATATAAATTTGCAGGTTCTTATGGAAGTTTTAGAGTTTGATGAGATATATGTTTTGACTAATCGTAAAGCATGACTTGCTTAATTTTGACGTCAAGGTGGAGTGGAAAAGTTGCCTCCAAAATTAGCAAGTGGCAAATAGTTCAGGGGTTATTTCAGTAACTTATCATTTACTATTCATAGTTTGACTATGAATAGTAATATATATGTGAATTGAATGAAGAATTGGACGGTGTATATATGTGGTCAAAGTAAGGCGCCTAAAAACAATTGCCCGCCTACAATTTGGACGGCTTTTCTTCTTTCCTTTCATATGATATTGCTTTTGGCTATAAATAGCCTGAGCCATGAGCCAGAAAGACAACCAAAAAAAAAATCATCCAAGTATATATAAAAAAGCATTACATATATATACTTATACACCACCTTATATTTTAGCTCTCCCACTCTATTTGTAATCTCTTTCATAATCCCTGTAAACACTGCAAATTATAGTGAATTGTTTCTCGGCTTCCTCCGCCCGTGGTTTTTTCCCGATTTGGGTTTCCACGTAAATTCCTGTGTCTCTATTCTATTTATTTTATTCGTATTACGTTGTGATTATTACGCTTTGATAATTTTTGATCCCATTCCGCATTGAGTTAATATTATTTAAGTCAATTTGGATCCGTCGTATTTTACAACAATTCTCATACCCATTCGCATGATATTTAACTTTGTAGCCACCTGTTAGCTCCTTCACCATGCCTAGTTCATCAATCATTATATTTTAGCATAATTTGTGCATGTTAATCAATATGAAACCTTAATTCAAGAATCAAAACTGAAATAAGTTTCAGTTTTGGACAAAACACAGAATAAATAAATAAATCATCAATGTAATCTACTCTAATTATAATTTATAATAAAAATATAGAGCTTAAATAATTACCACTTAACAATTGTTCAGTTATCTCCATCAAGTCATAGTAGTCAGCATAAGCCATATAAAATTCACAAGTAGTAAACTCAGGATTATGTGTCAAATCAATCCCTTCATTCCTAAACTGTTTTCCAATCTCATATACACGATCATGTCCACCAACAACATGCTTTTTTAGATAAAGTTCAGGGGAAATTTTCATAAACAGTCTCATATCCAAATCATTGTGATGTGTCACAAACGGCCTGGCAGCTGCCCCACCAGCAACCGTGTTCAACATCGGAGTTTCAACCTTCAAATTTCAATAACAACAAGTATAATTAATTAATTAATTAATTACCCATTAAGAAATTATATATATATATATATATATATATATATATTATATATATATATATATATATATATATATATATACACACACGGCTAACTAATGGCTTTACTTTACCTCCATGAAATCAAGATTCTTAAGAAAACTTCTGATGTATTCCACGATTTTTGCACGGGTATCGAATATAAATCTCACTTCTGAATTTACCATTAGATCCAAAGGACGTTGGCGATATCGTGTTTCCTACGATAAAAAAAAATAATTAAATTTAAAAGGTGGAGAAATGAAAATTCATATTCACATCATGCAATGGTATTGAATATTGATATTGAATATATACCTGATCTTTTAATACATATGCATCAGGATTTCTGCCACTTCCTGGAATCCAAGCATGAGTTTTCTGTAACAATTACACATTACTAAACAGGGGTAAATTCGTAAATACATTAATATTAAAAAAATTTACCTTCACATTGCCTTTTTGCCTTGGCATCATATGAAGACAAGGAGTTAAGACGTTGAATGTTTTTGGGAAAATACTCAGCTCTCCCCTGTTGCTTTTTCCTGTTATAAAAAAAAAATTAGAAGAAAAAAAAAATCAAAATTTCAAAAGGAAACAAAATTTGCACACCTGGAAACCCAACAATACCAACTACATCTCCACATTTCACACCAGAATGAAACTTGGAAAATTCAGCTTCATCCAAATCAGATCTCCTTCAAAAACAAAGATGGATTTTAGAGTTAATTAAAACGACAAAAACAAAAGTAATCTGTGCATTTTGAGGGATAAATTAAATTTAATTTGTGTCACCTTGCATCAGCCATAACTTGCACTCTTGTATCTTTGGTGCCATGAAGATCATAAAAGAAGAGCTTTGCTGCAGAAGCCCGTTTGCTCATAATTCGCCCTGGAAAGAGTACAAGAATTATCAGCATCAATATATATTAAGAAGGAAATTAAGTCTATATGTATATATTTTTATGTTTATATTAAATGGGACCCACACCCCCACCTGATAAAGATACTTGAACATCCTCCAGATACTCTCCACTGTTTAAGCTTTCATATTTGTTTATGAATTCAAGAATGGACATGGAGACATGGAATTTGTGAGGGTAGGGGTTCAATCCTGCTGCCTTCTGAGCAGCAAGTGTTTTCAGGCGATTTTCAAGAAATTGCTGCAACAATGATAATCAAGTATTATATATAAAGAGATCGAATATGATTTTAAAATACACATTACAAACTCTAGTGTGATTAATAATTAAGACAAGAATTAATTAACTATACCGTTGGATCCACATCCTCATCATCTGCAGTAGACTGCTTCTGGACTTGTGATTTTGGCATGGCAGCAACCTGTAAATTAAAACCACCACAATGACATGATGATTGTTAGGTCTAAATTTTAAATTAAAACAAGCGTAACCTTAATTCACCTTTTTCTCCTTCTCATGTTCCTTAAGACGCCTCTTTTCCTCCTTCTCTTTGTTCTTCAGCTCCTTCTTTCGAGCACTTGGTCAAAATCAAACACAAAATATTAAACCCTAGAATCTCTGATCATGCAAGCACATGTTATAATAGTAAATGGTTGCTGCTAGAGGGAATGAAAACTCACTTCTTGCTTAAAACCTCCGACTCAGAGTTGTTGATTGAGACGTGATCAGCAAACTTAGCATCCAAGTCCGCCACTGTAGGTGAAGATTGTGTGGAAGAAGACTCTGTAATTAATTAATGGCGTTTGAGTTTTTGGAAGGAATCGATCGAGATCTTAACTCTTTTTAAGAATGTATCAAATACAGCCGTTTACAAGAGGAACACCGATAGGCGGGGGACTTACGTGTTCAGAAGTGTCGAAGGCGGTATACTCACTGCCGATGAAGACGATCGATAGTTGATGGATACAATATATGATATATACCTGATTAATATTGCTTTCTCTCCGAGTTACTATTACTTTCTCTGCAAATCACACGTTTCACAAAAAAAAAGGTAATCTTTTTCTCATTTATTTGGGAAAATGACACAAATGTCCTAAGAACTTTCTAGGGTTTATCCTTTTAGTCCCTAAACAATTTTTGTGGCCTTATGAGGGCACGAAGTTGTTTTTGTCGGGTCGATTACATTTATTTGGCCAAAGTGAAGGGGTCAGCCGGTTACTTCTTGGACACATTGACATTTGTTGACCAATTTTCTTATATTGACTTTGAATTTTCCCATACTCTCTCTCTCTCTCCCTGAAACCCACCTGCAAATAGAGGTCCTGTACTCCTGCTGTAACTAGCATCATATCAACAAATAAGGGGATTGAGTTGTTTGTTTAATCATTGACCACCGTTTGTCGTCTCCGGTGAACCTCACCGACCATCTAATAGCCACATGACTGCTGCTACTTATCTGAGTCGTACCCGATCATCTGCTTCGGCATGAAGATTGGCTATGTTTGTCAACAATCTTGATAACCCACATATGTCATTGTGGGGTTTGTATGTTCATTGAGTAACACGTTGCTTGAAGTTATATCAACAATTACGTCTAATCTTATGTGCGTGTTTGGTAGCCCAGAAATAAGAACAGAGTAATTCTTAATCTTGAAGCTCCAATTTCTTAGAGCTCTAATACCGACAGCCACCCACCTTTCTTTCCTCTTTCTTATTCACGTAAACAGTGCCTCTCCGCCTTCTCTCTAAATCTTGATTCGATTTTGCAAAAGAACATTACGAACACATACAAATCACATGATACCAAAGGACGAGCGAGGGTCAGTGAGTGACCAGAGGAAGAAGGAGCGATTTCTAATTCACACACACATGTGCCTTTTTGAAACAATTTCAGATTCATAAACACATACACATATCGTTTTCAGAAACGAAAACATACACATAAAAATCGATATTTGGGGATGAACATATAGAAATCGATTTCCAGAACCAAACCTACATATACACTTACATAAATCGATTAAAAAATTGGATTTATGGGTTTTCTTTTGAGTGTTTGTTGAGCACTGCGTTTTGGATAACCAAAAAATATGGAGAGAGCGAGAGTAGGTGTGCATGAGTGTATGTTTGTTCATGATTGGATGTGGAATTTTGATTAAGAGATGAAGAAGATGAAATGTTTTCTGGGGTAAAAAGAAAAGAAACAGGATACGAGAGAGAGAGAGAGAGAGAGAGAGAGAGAGAGAGAGAGGTGGGCCCCAAGTTTTGTCAATAAAACCGGGGAAAAGAGGTGAAGATGGCTAAATAAACAGGTTCCCCCTACTTGGTTCCCTTATTAGGCCAAAAAATAAGTTAATTGGCTAAAAGGGTAAACCCGAAAAACATTATAGGGCCTATATGTCATTTTCCCCATTTATTTCCATATCCTTTCGATTAACTTTTATTTAATAACAACTACTAATTATAATTTAGAACAAATTTCATGAATGGTCCTTAAGGTTTTGTTTTTTCCCCTCAAGTAGTCCCTACGAAACTTTTTTTCCTCTCAGATGGTACCTACGAAGTAAACCTTGCACACAAAAGGCCCCTGTGACTAACTTTGTTAACTGATTCTGTTAAGTTTTGCTAATGACAAAAATACCTTATACACACAAGGGTCCTCTCTCTCTATATCTCTCCATAACTATCTCTTATTCTCTCTATTTTAATATTAGATGATTTGTACTTTACTCAAAAGCTCCCTTTGAAAGTGATCTCGTCACACTAAGTCTTTCGTTAATATGACTTCTCATTTGTTGAACCACATCCTTCGTCTCTCTCTGGTGTGCTTTTGTCAAAATCGAGTTCCAAAAGTCACTTTTCATATGGCGAGCGATGCAACAAAAAATCCCTTCGGCGGTGGCTTTAAGGTCACGAGGGGTTGACATCTCTTCCATTCATTGTAGTGCTTGTAATAATGGGATTGACCATACAGATCATATTCTAGTGCTATGCCCATTCGCATGTGCTGTCAGGGAGGAAATATTTACATGGTGTGGTATATAACACAAGCCTTTCAACTCTATCACCGATCTGATCAGATTCGCAGATAATTAGGGCTGATGTTCTAAAAGGAGAAAGCAATTCATCACTATTTGCTACGGATTACTATGGAACTTGTGGAAGTACAAGAATGATAGACTCTTCAATGAGAACTTCATCAACCCTACGCTAGGTGCTGAAAAAGTAAAATCTCTGGTGTTTTTCTGGTTTAAATGTAAGGGAATTGGCAATTTATGTAAATGGGAAGAGTGGAAGTCCTCCCCTTTCCATGCTACATAGCATTGTATTTTCCTTTCCTGTTGTTCTTATCATGTACGCTATTTTGTTGGTTTCCTCCTCCCCTCGCTAGTTACTTGCTAGTCGAGGGTTGAGTTTTTCGCTAATATTCGCCGTTTCCAAAAAAAAGTGATGCTTGCAAAAAAAGTGTACAATTTACTACAGAGTGGCTTTATACATAAGATGAGTGTTGGATAATATTGTTTACAAATTAAGTGGTGCATGGAAATTGACTACAAATCAAATGATTTATGTATATGTAATACAATTAACAAAATTTGGGTGGATAATTTCAAAATTGCATTACACAATTGTTGTTATCTATCGTAACAAAATCCTAAAATAATATTACTACATTTTTGGTACAAATACCATTAGAAGTCTGTAGGTACAATCTTCATGCTTTACTCTTGGGTCTACTTTAATTGAATTAAAAACAAAACTTGTAGGGGAGATTGCATCCGCCGTTCAACCTTGGCTTCTTGTTTAATTAACAAATCAAGAGAGTGAATATTTAAAACATTAAAATCATACTCTAACTTAATGTCTTTAATTTTATTGAATTTATAATCTGTTTAATCTACAATGTAAATAAAAGATGGGTTAACATGAATGAATGGTCATCAAAGAAATCCTTGATGTCAGCAAAGCATTGAACATTTTGTTGTAAAACATTGACTTCACAATCCTTCCAATTTCTCCACCAAAAAAGGGGACCTAGCATGGAGCAAAAACCATGTAAATTAAGCGCAAACTAAAAATCATACATGAATATCTACAATATTAGGCACAAATGACTCGCTTTGGCTACAAATGATGATCATCTCTTCTTCAACCATTTCCTAATGACCCCTGCTTAGCAGGACCCTTGCAAGTCGATATAAAAGTACTCTGCACAAACAAAAATAATGACATAGATGGAAGTAAATTTGTGAACGTAATTAATTTGTGCATTTAATTAACTTTACATCAAAGAACCAAAATTTACAAAGTAACTTTCCAAGCTTTACATAGAAGGATTACGGTCAATGAAAGCAGAAATAGACAAATCTACTTGAATCATAAACATCGATTGTCATGTCAGAGTATCAAATCAAACAATGGCTTTATATCCGATCATTTAGACTGTACAAATATCATTTCGTCTTAGAACTTGATGAAATTATGCTTCAGAACGTAGCAAATTTCCAAATCAATAATAAACTATCGACATTCACGTGAAAAAAAAATTAAAACGGATAATTAACAATTGCAAGAAGATTTAACATATAATGAACATGTAATGCACATATAACCTAAGACAAAGTACGTGTATGCTCTTTTTTTTCGTGATATTCTGTTGGGACTATCAAGCCATGTACACGTGTTCTCAATGCCATGCCAACAGCTGTAAAATAGTTAGCTAGATGTTTCTTTCTTTTACAATCAGTTAGGCTTACATTAGTGGTTCATTTTAGCATTCCCTGTACAATATATATATTGCTTCCAGATCATTGTAATGGTAGAGAGAGAAATACAATCTTCAGTTTCTCATTTCAAATTCTTGTTATGGTATCAGAGCGACTTCCGTTCTTTACTCAAATTCAAATTTATCTTTCAATCTTCATCATCGATTGTTCTTGTTCGCAATCGATTTTCTGTTTTCATTGATTGTTTTGTGCTTCTTTGAATTCTTCATTATTCGATTGAATTCCAAATTTCACAATGCCTAATTCATCGAATAGTAGTAATTCAAATCAATCTTTGGATCAAAATTCCGCAAATGATCCATATTATTTACATCATTCTGATAACCCTGGGTTAGTTCTTGTTTCTCAAGTTCTTACCGGTGAAAATTATGCATCGTGGAGTAGGTCAATGACAATCTCGTTATCTGTCAAGAACAAAATTGATTTTGTTGATGGTACACTTCCAAGACCTGATAATTCTGATCCAGCAAAACTCAAGTCGTGGATTAGGAGCAACAATATAGTGATCTCATGGATTCTGAACTCGGTTTCTAAGGAAATATCTGCTTCTGTGATCTATTTGGATACTGCGCAAGCGATTTGGAAGGAACTCAAAGAACGATTTCAGCAGAGTAATGGCCCTAGGGTTTTCCAAATCAAGAGAGATCTTATGAATCTTGTTCAAGGACAAGACTCGGTTAGTAATTACTTCACTAAACTCAAAGTTCTATGGGAGGAATTGTCCAACTATAATGCAAATTGTACCTGTGGCCTGTGTATATGCGGAGGTGCTAGAGAAGTTGAACAAACCATGAGTTTTCTAATGGGATTAAATGAAAGTTATGCTCAAGTTCGTGGTCAAATCCTATTGATGGATCCAATTCCATCGGTGAACAAAATTTTCTCTCTAATCATTCAAGAAGAACGACAACGAGATGTTGGAATGTTGCAATCTAGTTCTTCTCCTATGGCTTTCAATGTACGAAGTAATAATGATGGTTTTACTAACAACAATGGTAATAAATCTCGTTTTAATCCTAATCACAAGAATAATGGAAACAAATCTTCTTTTTGCACTCATTGTAAAAGAACAGGACACACACAAGAGAAATGTTATCGTTTACATGGATTTCCTCCTGTATATAAGAACAATCAGTCAACAAGAGATAATCGGGTCAACTCTGTATCTTTCAATTCACCAATTGAAATTGATAATCATGCTAGTTCCTCTTCTTTGGATACAAATGATGTAGTGACAGGTCTCACCAATTCTCAGTGTCAGCAACTCATTGCTCTGCTCTCTGGAAAGTTAGCATCCACCAATATGGTCACTACTGCTACTGAATTTCACACAGGTACTCATTATATCCTTAATCTGAACTCTGTACATTATCAATCAAATGTTTGGGTCTTAGATTCAGGAGCTACCCGCCATATTTGCAACGATAAACATTTGTTTACTGATATGAAACAAATTGCAAATAGCAAAGTATTGTTACCCAATCGATCAAGAATTACAGTTCAATTGATGGGAAATATCAAATTAAGTGATACTCTATTTCTTAGAGATGTTCTTTTTGTCC